GTACACATAACGTTAAAATTGCAAGTTCAAATTAGCCTGAGGTTGAACACTCACCAGTATATCTAAACGCCAGTTTGGTTGTATTTTGAATTTCTGTTTGAACATTTTGTGTCGTGGCTGGGACAGCTTCACTTAATATGGCAGGCACTATAGAAAAGAAAGGTAAAAGACAATCAGTACCTTTTTCCAAAGGGGTACCAACACGTACAAAGACGTATTTGAAATTAAGGAATATGCTATTCAGTTTCAGGAATTTTCTGAATTTCCACAAATTTCCTCAACGAAGAAAAATTGCTGAACAGACACGGCACCATAGAAACTATTTGTTCAGTACTAAAACTTACAGTCATCAATTCCTTCTCCTCCTTTGCCACATTCACGATTAAAAAGTCTGATTCCAGTCACAATCAGTGTCAGTTCATTAAGCTGTCGTTCCTTGTCGCGCTTTGTTAGAGACATGAAAGTTCCCAGCTCTGTTTGTGGAAATACACTTTGCAAAGCAGCTGCAACAACAAGAATAACACAACTTGAAAAAAGTCATATTGCTCTGTGTTATGAATTCAAGATACAGTTAGATACATTCTCTATTAAGATACTTGTATTGACAGATTTTTAGATGATGCAGCAAGGTAATCCTGCAGCACAGTCTATAACCAGTTCATGTATTAGTTATTGAGCTGGCAGAAAGAGTGAAATAAGAGATGCTATTACCAGTGCTAACCCAAGTTGAAGTCTAGTTTAAAGCAATTAAAGCAATTAAATCTTCATCAAAAGTCAAAATTTGGTGATCCTCTTAGCTTCTGTTAAAGTGTCAGAAGCACCCTGTAAAACCAGGGTATCTAGCTGTTTTTAATTTGTACTGTTATTTCCTTGTGATATTTGTCACATTGCTTTGATGGGCTGCTGTCAGCAATTACTTGATTAAGCTTAGCATTGTGTACTTAAATTTTCTCTGTAAACTTGTAGTTCTCAAAGGCTTGTGATGTTTGATTGACTAAAATTAAGCATTTTATAGAGAGGATTCTTATCAGAAGCTTATTTAATACCTGTGGCTTCTCTCACAACAGCAATGTCAGTTGGAGAACCCAGACCAGACCGCAGCAATACACATGACACTATTCTCCTGTACAAACCTAGACACAAAGTAAAATTTAATGAATCAATAGATAATTTACAGTGCACCAGAACACATTGGGGAGATGAAATTGTTTCACTGTTAGCATACTATACTCTGGGTTAAGAAGTTGGAGTTCAAGATCTGACTGAGTCATCATGTTGTGTTCATAAGCAAAAACATACCACCCTTACAGTGTCTCTCTCAACACAGGAGTACAAATGGGTGTGCAGTAGGAGGCCTGACAAAATTGTGGGGGTGTAACTTGCAATGGACTGGCATACCAATCAGG